AGGAGAGTATGGAGGGATGGACACTGGGAAGAGGCAACTATGGGGAGGAAGTGGGAGGGGAGCTGTTGGCATTGTGTGAACTGTGGTCAATGACATGAGACAAAGTATTTGTGAACTGCTGTATGGAAAGTGAATTTGCTCTGTAAATCTTCACCCAAATCACAATAAATAAAAAAAGAAAAGAAAAGAAAAGAAACTGGGCAGAGATCCAGTTGTAAGTCAACCCCACAAACTGGAAGGGCCTGGCTCCTCACCTTGTTAGAGGGCTGGTGACCCTGGAAGCTCTGGTATCCCAGGAAGCTGGGAGCAGACAATCCCTCTCCCTTTGTTTATCAGGAGAGGGGACAATGTGCCCTGGAGCCTCAGCCGCCATGCTGGTTTACAGTCTCCTGCCGGAGCCCCTGGGGGTCCCTGACCAGGCCTGCAGGGTGCCACAGCAGGGCCTCTGCCCACATCTGGGACCTTGTCTGCGCCCCACCAGCCTTGTCTTCTGGAGGTTCTAGAAAACAAGTCTGTGCCAAGCTTCCAGCATCCATGCCTCCTGGTGGGATGGTGACCTTCCCCAAGCCGCCCCATTGAGTCCACGTTTCCACACGTGTCCCACAGCCATGTCTGTGCTCTGTGAGCAGCCTGGTCCCAACCCCCAGGCAAGCAGTGAAAAAGCCCAGGGTGAATTTCACACACATGATGAGAACTCCATTTACTTAAAAGGTAGATGGAAAAGGCTTTGGGGCTGACGTCATCTTTGCCAAGACCACCAACAGGGCTCCAGAGAGGTGTGGAGAGGTCCCGCGGAGGCACGTGAGCCCAGCTCCAACTGGGGAGAAGGCTCCAACATTGAGCAAGCAACCCAGAGGTGGGGCAGAAGCCCAAGCTGAGCGCTGTCCTTTCAGCACCGCCAGCCACCGTCCCCGCCTCCTGGAATCTTCCAGGCCAGTGATGCTCCTGCCCCGCTGGCACCACATGCGGGCTCACAGCTCCTCCTCCCACCGTGAGCATACTGAGTTGGTAAAACCAGCACTGGCCCCTGCCCTGCCAGAGGCCACCAGGAGTGCTCCCAAGCCCCTCCATTGCATGCCTGTGTCGTTGGCCGTTCCCCATCAGAGAGGATGCCACATAGGGCCAACCACTGATCACTTTCCCCAGAGCCAGCACAGAGTCCACCCACAACAGGGCTGACGGACGCCACATGGATGATGTAGGCCACATGTAAGACATCTGATCCCTCCCTGTCTGCAGACCTCACCAGGGCCCTCCCGTCGTGGTACAGGTCAGAGAGCTGGGCACCCGTCTGGAACCCTCACTGCTTATCTCCCTCTGATAAAAACAAAATGTTAGGCCAGAGCAAACCCAAGCCACCAACATCTCAGTGGGCAGCTTCCTCCAGGTGTCAGGCCCTGATGAGACAGCCTGATAAGACAACCAAGGTGGCAGAACCCGCCCAGGCTGGAAAGTCCCACGTGATGACAAACTTTCTCCTGTGAAGCCCCCTCATCCTCATGCTAATTAGGTGCAGACCCATGCCAACAGCTAATTGGACCCCGCCATTTCCTTGGTGTCCCCAATTAGGTCCTCTCTGTGTCTATAAGAATCTATCCTCCCTGCCCGGGAGTGTGACTTCTCTGGCCCTGATGCTAGGGCATGAGAACCTCGCCCGGGAGTGCTAATGAACTGCTTCTCTGAAACAACTCCGTGTCCTGGTGTCTCGGCAGGTCTGCATAACACAAACAAGAGGGACATGAGGTGCCTGCCTCCTGTCCCCCCTCCAAGGACACCTGCAGTGCAGCCTGCTTGTCAGAGCCTATCGGAGGCAACCCTGGTTCAACATCCTCACTGACACGACGTGCTGACGAAGGGGGAGGTCACACCTCAGTTTCAGCCTCCCGAGGACCAGCACCCTTGGCTCCGGAGGCTGCAGGGACGCTGGTATCAAACGCCAAGAACAGCATGTTCCCACTTGGCCACCACTCCCCTTCCAAAGGAAGCAGTTCAGGAGAGAGTTCCTTTCCAGTCCTCACGCCTGCAGAAAACCAGATGCCCCACAGCTGCTGGGAGGCAAGAGCTCCTGGCAGAGCGTGAGACTTAATTTGGGGAAATGAGAAGAGACAGACTCTCCATCACCCAACCCGGGCCTGAAGCCTTACTGTTTCCATCCTGCGATCTGGGCAACAGGAAGTGCCTGCCCAGACGGAAAGCCCCCATCCTGAGGAATCTTCTGTCATCCGAGGGGGAAGAGCTGTGTGTTTATTCGGCTTGGGGACAAGGGTGTGAGGAAAAGACTCAAGATACGGAAACAGCGGTTTTCTTCTCAAGCTTCTTAAACTAACATCAACAACTATATGATTTATAGTTTTTGTTGGAAAGGACTGAAGCTCTCGCCACGCTTCCCCAGCCCCCAGCAAAGCAGCTATTACACTAGTGAGTCTGTTTCCCTCAGCTCCCAGGGACACGTGGACCATGGGCTCCCAGGGCGAATCAGAAAGGGCAGAGACCAAACTTATCTAAGGTCTGGGGGCTCTCTACTCAGGCCATCATGGCCCATCTCCGCCTCCACTGGCCAGCTACCAAATAAATGCTGGGTCCGGACGCTTGTCCCCCTCTCTGACGTATGGACCGTGAGGAACAGCAGCTCAGCTAGGTCCCATTGCACTTTGATGTCTGACCGCTCAGCCCAGCACAGTCACCTGCCTGCCTGGCTGGCCCTGCCACTCTAGGCCACCTCTTGCCTCTGCACCCCACACTCTCTGCCCCAGGCACATGACCGTCCCTGTGTCCCTCCAGCAGGGAAGGAGGCTTTGCACACACTGTCCTTCTGCCCTGATGCTGTTCCCTCTGTTGGTACCTGGCAGCTCCAGTGTCTCTTTCCAGAGCGCCTTTCTCTAAGTGCTGACCCCTCACTGTGGCCTGAACATACCCTTTCCTGCCCTTTGGACTGGTTGGAGACTCCTCCCACAGTGGACAGGCTCATTGAGGGGCCTTGGTCAGAAGCTTCCCCACCCCCAGCACCCTGGCCACCCTGTGGCTGCTCCCAGCTCTGAGCTTACACTGGGAGCGCAGGCAGGGTCACTTTGCTCTGGGGCTGGATATGGCGGGAGCCTCGGCCAAGACATGTCCTTGTTGACTGGCCTGTATTTCATCTCAGGGGTGGCCAGGGGCCCTGTGGGCAGCTGAGCGCCATGGAGATGGCTCTGGGCATTGGGGAGGTCAACCAGCACCCACACACAGGCTGTGACATCTGGGTTCAGATGAGCTGGCTTGATGGAGTGCCAGCTGCCAGATGTACAGGGGGCTTGGACAGGGTTCCAGGCCAAGGGCAGTACTCATGGGTGTCAGAGCCACCAGCCCGCACCAAGACAAGGTCACCAACTGGCACATCAAGGGCAAGACAGGAAGGACAGATGCACCAACCAGAACCCAGGGCCACATCAGCCAGTACACAAGACTCATCTGGGGGTGGTCGGACCCCGTCCTTCTCCAGCACTGCCAAGGCACCCCACTGCTCATTGACTGTGACATGTACACATCTGCACACAGTGCGCACACACAAGCCCACATGCATGTACACATGCATGCATAGCACGTGCACATGTGTGTACACTATGCATGTGTACACACACGTGTGCACACTCACACAAGGGTATGCATATACACACATTCACATGCGTGCACACAGGGGTACACACATAATCCCATAGGCCCACAGCCTCACTCAGACACACCCAGGAGCAGAGGCACCCACACTCGCCCACAGGAAGTTATCTGAACGGTGACAGCCATAGGAAAGCTCTTGGGGCCACATTGTTAGAGCCTGGCCTGCTGCAAAGCTTGGCCCCATGGAGGGAAGTACAGGGCCCCTGACAGAGCACAACCATCACTGCCAGGGGCACACAAGCCCTCCCAGCTGCCAGGAAGCCTGGGAGGGAGAGTTACCAGGGGGTCCAAGAGCCGGGGCACAGAGCAGTAGGTAGTCATGGCTCCTCAGCAGACCCAGGCTGCAGTCCCACCCTGGCAGCCCCTGTGGTAACTTGTTCATCATGCCAGCAGTGGGTGGAGGCAGCCGGTCCTGTCCCATCCTGTCTCTGACTTCAAGGGCTGCCCCATGGGCCACACACCAACCTCAGGCTGGTCAATGGCACCTCTCCTAGTCTTGATGCCCTTCTGGGTAAACAGAGCCCAGGGGTCAGGGTCAGTGAGGGCATCAGTCCATGTGCCCAGTTGGGCCATGTCCCAAGGCTGTGCAGCCCCCACTTCTGGGGCTCAGGAGCCCTATACTGGGCTGTGGTACCCCTACACCATCCATTGCCCTGTCCACAGCTGCCCATAAGGCTCCCCAAGCTGACAGAGTTAACATCATCCCTGAGCCACCCCATCCTCCAGGCCTGCTGGACTCCCCACCCTTGTTCCCGGCCCACTGTTATGCTGGACGGCCACTCACTGGGCCAGAGGGGGTCTTGCCCACAGCCTGCACAGCCCGAGTGTCCACCACAGCACAGCACTGGGGGTGCAGGTGGCACAGGCCCCAGCTTCTGCCCCATTCAAGCCCTGGGCCAGGGCTCTTCTGCATCACAGTGGCTTTGATCACAAACTAGATGACCGTTTGGCTGATGGGCAAGCATCAACCCCCAGCCCCACCACCGGGAGCTGCATACAGGGCATCCACAATGGCCATGCTTGCCAGCCAGCCTCCTGCCAATGCCCAGAGTGGGTCCAGTGTCCAGGGCCAACAGCCTCCCAGAGGGTCTCAAGGTGGCGCCAACCCCCATCTCCCGACAATGGAAGTTGTGACTGCCCCATGGGCTGTCTCCTTGTGTTTTCAACACTTCTCAGCTTTAGCTTCCAGCACGTTGATATCAACCCAGACCATCTCAGTGACCACTAGCACGGCACAGGTCCTGAGAACCACGGACCTCAAGGCCAGCCCACCCAGGCCCCTTGTGGTCAGAAGCGTGTGCAGCGTGCAGCTGGCCGTGGGTTGGATACGGACTCAGTCAGCAGGCCATCCTGGGCCCTTGAGCAGGGTCAGAGTGTGCTGCCCCCTGGTGGACGCTGAAGGTATTGCATGGCTTCCTCCAGGCCAGTCGCCCCTCCAGGGGCAGGGTGCCGACTCCCTGCAGACTTCAGTGAGAGCCGGGAAACCCCTTGCCCACCCTCGTCCTCACGTTCTCTTGGTGGGTCTGTGCCCCTAGAGAGCTCCAACCACCTGGAGGGCAGGCAGTATGGCCAAGCATACCCCTTGGGTCCTCCATTCTGGACCTGGGGGGTGCCAAGCAGTGGGCTGATCTCTTTCCACCCTCAGCATCTAGGTGACTTGGACCTAGAAAAGGCCAGAGTTTGTGGCCCTAACAGTGTGGCCACCCAGGGGGACTTTATCCCACTCAGCGGTGGGATATTTTTCACTCTTGCCCCCATCTCAAGCTGGCCAATTTCTTTGGTTTGACACTAATCCTGACAGGGCCAAACACATCAGGACAACTTCCTAGGGGCAGATGGGCTCCAAAGGGTCCCACCAGGTCCCTTCTGGCCAAGATGATGGGCCACCCACTCAGAGATCCTAGCAGGAAAGAGTCAGGTCCTCAGGCAGGTCTGAATTCCAGAACAAGAAAAGCTCATGTGAACGTGGCCCAGCTATTGCAGGGTTGTTGTTGTTGTTGTTTGCCATCAAGTCGGACCCAACTCATAGCAACCCCTCCTTGGGTTTCAGAGGCAGTATCACTACGGAAGTAGATTGCCCAACCTTCCTTCCAAGGAGTGGCTGGTGGGTTTGAACCGCCAGCCTTCTGGTTAGCAGTCAGATGCCTTAGGCACTGCACCACCAGAGCTCCCCACAGGGAGGCAGAGGGGCTTTGTCACAGACTGGAGAGAAGGAGTTATGTGACTATGTGATGTGCACAAGCCCAGGACCACCAGCAGCCACCAGACGCTGGAAGAGGCAGGCAGGACACTCCCCTAGAACATCCCCAGCGAGGCAGCCCTGCAGCTCCCTTATTTCTGCCCAGCAGACCTGACCGGGGGCTTCTGGCCTCCAGAACTTAGCTTACACACATTTCTGTTGTCTGCAGCCAAGCCTGTGGTGCTTTATAAGGCAGCCACAGGAAACCGATCCACCAGTGACACCAACAGATGGGACTGCACGGCTGGGCCACGTGCTCGCCCTGGAGGGGGCACAGCACACAGCTCCAGAACCCCAGAGCTGGACCCTGGGGCAGCAGAGACCCATCCCGGTGAGCACTGCCGGGTGTGGGGGCCTGCTCGGCCCCACCTCCACTGCAGCACACCACGCAGGCGCCGGGCTGCTTTCTGGGAGCAGAGCTGGTGGAAGCCCGGAAGCCCTCAGCCCCTCTGACAGAAGTCTCCGCTGGAGTAACCGCACCCACTTGTGGGTCGGGGCCCTGTGAGCAGGAGTGGACCTGGCTTTGCCTCCAGTCACAGCTACACGTGCCTGAGGGATGCAGGCTTGGCCTGAGGGAACGGCAGCACCCAACCTGCTGAAGAGGGGTATGTGCAGACACTCCCTGTTGGGGATGGGCCCTCGTTCCAAGGACGGCCGGCCTGATCCCAGCCTGTGCTGCACCTCGTCGGGGGGCTGCGCCACAGCCATGCTGCACGTAACCTGCACACCTGTGGGCCTACCTGGCAGGGGCACACCTGGGCGGGAAGGGACCTGCACCGGCGGCGCACGGCGGGAAGGCGCACCAGCCGCTTGGTCCGGCCCTGACTAGGGAGGGTCCCCCTCCACCAGCACCCCGACGCGCAAGCGCACTCTGGCTCTGGGACCGCTCAGTTTATTGGTAAAACGGACACTGAGCGCGGCGGGCGCTGGACGCGGAAGCCTCGGGGCGGCAGGGGGCGCTTTTCCTCTTGAAGAACTTCCACTGGACCTTGATAGCGAGCAGCCAGTCGCTGACGG